TTCGTTTCGGATGACGACGGTATTTAAGTCACAGCCGTCATACATCGTAGAGTTGAGTTCAACTCAGCAGACGCGGAACAAGCGGAGTATTGGTCAATCCCGCACAACCTGGGACCTGGCGTGGTCGTGGGTGAGTAGTTTCAGTTTTATAGCTCATTTCGCGCCTCACCATAGCCATGGTTCAGACAAATCCAAGATGTGACAGAGCGAAACGTGGGGGCACTTTGAGCATCAGTCAAAACGTTGATGTCTGTGCTGTAGATGGAACACAGCATGTCATACATCGAAACCGTTCAATATTGGCGGGACAGGGGTCCCGGCTACATGAGCTATGACGGGGTGCTGAAACCTCGCCAGTCTTGCTGTTCCGATCATTATCAGGATATCCAAGCTGCTGCACCAAGCACTTGCAATTTCGAGGAGTCACGATTATCAACTCGTCGTGTGCAGTGGACGGTGTTCAGGTCGGCAAGATATCTGATGCTCAAGACATACTGTCGGGTTTGGCGCAAGGCGGCGACAGAGCACCGCTTACCTTCATCGGTAGGGGGGGGCGTCGGGGCCGGCGTAGGTTCCGGCGTAGGGGCCGGGCCTGTTTCAGAATGGCGCAAGATCCGTTCATCGTATTGTTGGCGCCGTGTTGCCAAAGAAGAGGACGTTGAACGGCATTTGTCGATGCATAGAACCGGAACGTTAGACTTCCGATAGCGCTGCTTGTTTCCGATGTGGTCTGACCCTGATGTGATAGCAAGTGCCTGACCGAAGAGAATCGTAGCTGCAAGATACATAGGTCCCGGAGAAGCTAAATCTAGATGGCCGTTTCAATTGTTCGTCAGGTTTTGATTGGTCAGTACGAAAACATCACGTTTCACTCGCTTAAAATGAAAGTTTGTTGTCGAAGACCGAATAAACTGTAGTTTATTGTGCACGGAAGAATTCGGAACATCTCCCAGATCTACGGTTGTATTTGAGTTCTTGTTGTGGCGTGTTGGTTGGGTTGTCTTGGTTTGGTTTTCTGGGGTCTTGCAAAAAGAAAGGTCTCACGGAATTCTCATTCTGCTGCCTCGCTGCTCCTGCATCAAGAGTATGATAGACGCGTGTCTACTGGACCAAGGGCCGCGTGTTGAGGAATGCACAGTGTGTAACACGCAGCCCGCGTCGGAGGGTCACGCGGGAAGGAGGGCAGCAGCTAGCTACATCGAAGTTTGGACCCGTAGCTAGCAGAAATTCGTAGCTTTTCTCCCGCCCACCCACCCCTTTTCTTTCGAAGGTGGGGGATGGGAGATGTTACGAGTGAGGACTCACCTAGAAGAGGCATCTAAATATTTCTGTGACTCGGAATTGGTGCAACCGTTTGCCACGTAGAAGTATGGCGTAGCATTGGGGTGTTTTCTGAATGGTAGTGTGCGTACCATTGGGAGGCATTGGGGTGTTTTCTGAATGGTAGTGTGCGTACTATTGGGAGGCTCAATCGTCCGAGACTGCTACTGTGCAACAGTTTCGTCCCGTCTGGTAGTATTCGGAGGGAGATTTTGTGTTTAGAAGCAGAGACACGTTAGGATACCGCAGAGGCTTTGTGCCGTGCGGAACGTGTGGTACGGGGGATGTCTCCCTCCGTAGGCCACAGAAATATTAATCAAGGCAATTCGAAAGAAAACAAAAAACTGCAGTACCTCTTCACAACCGAGTGAGGGCACGGAACGGAACACATACATGTGCGGTGACCGAGGTCTCAAATTCGGGGGAGCGTTTCCGATAGGCTCACCGGTCATGCAGGGAGCTTCTCCCGTAAACAGAGCAAAAGCGACCGGAGGCCCTGACTCCTCCACCACAGCAGGCTTCGGATCCACCGTCTCGGGAAGTGCACCCGGTACCTCCGCAAGATCCGCAGCTTGAGGAGCAGCATATATCGCTCTGCTGGATGCCGACAATTCCGCCGTCACACGTCTCAACTGCTCGTTTGAGGTGAAGACGTCATTTGAATCACAGGCGTCTTAGAAGAGGTGAGTTAAAGTCGGCAGACGCGGAAAAACCGTATATATTGGTCGATCGTGCACCCCTGGAACTTGGCGTCGTCTTTGGCGAGCTATCTCGCTTGAGACTCACGGCTTACCTTGATCAAGGTTTACAGATACGACAGTTAGTCAAGCAAAGCACACTCATAGATGTGCAAAACGTGACGGTACGAAACGTGGTGAATTGCAGATCGGTCAAATAGCCGATGTCTGTCCTGCAGATGAAGACAACATGCGCTGACGTACATCAGAATGATTTCAAATGGGCGCGACAGGCATCCCGGTTACATGAGCCATGACGTGGTGCAAACTAACAAGCGAAGCTGTTGTCGGAGACGGAATAAACTGACGTTGGTTCAAACGGAAAGAGTTGTAACGCATTACGGTTGGCTACAGACATGTGAGCACATTTCGCGTGCCCCCAATACCTTCTGGATACTAGCAAAGAGAGCACGCGTGGGCCGTAGTCGTCGACTGTTATGCTCGTGAGCGCGAGAGAGGACAACGAAGTACGTGAGCACGTCGAAGGATTGGGGCATCGGCCAACGTAGACAAGTGGACACATGACGTAGTAGTGTCTTTTTCCTTCGGGCTGGAGGTGAGGCACCAGGCGCGGAACACGCTTGGCTGGCACGCAACAACATCTGGTCGTAGAGGCTCACTTTGTCAGGTGGATGCTGAAGAGAATGAGACGCGCCAAGCGTGCCGCGAAACCCTGAATCCTTTCTCTACTGCTACCGTTCTCTTCAGCCGGTGTTGTGCACGACAGCCGCGGCTCAGCTGTGGCGGCATACGCGGTCGCACGCATGCCCTAGGAGCACGCGCGGGGAACCGCTACCCGACGAGAAGTGAAGAAAACAATCGTAAAAAAATCGTACGTGATACGAGATACCACACACCCTGGGGCGACTCAACAGACTTTACGTGCCCCGTTATTGTGCGCGTCCGGAGTGCGAAAAAAATTCAAAGTCCTTTGGATGGCGCCCTGTTTCTCAGCCTGAGGCCGGCTTCACACTCAAGTCGATCCCGAATGCAAAAATCAGAAGTCGCTTGCACGGCGCCCTGTTACTGAGCGTGGGGCTGGCTTCGGCCACCGTCGCACTCTCAGTTGATTGGCCGGTTCCGGAGGGCAGTGATGACGATATGGCATAGTATCATCTCCACACAAAACGTTATCGATCAAGGAGGGGCGGTAGTGAATATTATTAGGCCCGCGGAGAAGGGTCTGCAGGAAGTGGAGAGACCATTCGATGGAGACATTTCGGCGGTCAACCAAAATGAACGGTGGCGGCGTCCTTCCGCCCAACCGAAGGTCACCCCCAGAACACTTCGGCGCGACCTGAGTATAGCGTTGAAGCGCCGACCACTCTACCCCAAGCAAAGGAGCCCCGCGTCAAGTCGACTATTTCTGGTCTACAGCTGCAAAAGACGAGCGGCTTTTTAAACCATAGAGAGGGGGCGCGTGCGTCGGGAGTAGCAGAGGAACAGAGGGTACTCTGGGATAATCGGGTCTGCTTCAATACACGCGCGCTTGAAGACACGGGGAAGACACCATAGATCACGTGCGCCATATGGCCAATGGTTGTCGCCATGCTCTCACCAACTAGGGATGACAAGCATACCATGTTGTCGGCGTTCGTCGCCCCCTCTACTTCGTACCTTCGGCCTGGAGGCTGCGCAAATTGATGTTGATCGTTCCATTGTCGGCGAGAAGTTCGACGTTTCCCTGTTGACAAAAACGGTTTAAGCAAGCAAGGGTTTCGAACACGTCGACGTACTCTTCAACCGGAGAAATCTTGTCCTTCTACTTGCCTATGACGCAGCGCGCGTAGTCTCAACAGTGGCCCGAGCCAAGGGTTTCATCCGCATTTAAAGCCTTGTGTCAACGGCATTTGTCGTGCTGTCATCCTTAGCATTATAGGTTAAAAACCAGGCATACTCCAAAACGCGGCGAGAAAAAAGCG